AGGCCATTAACATTGATAGTTATAATCCATAGATATTGACTCATCCTTGTCAGGATGTTTTACTGTTGTTGGCTCTTTTATTTCTTATTTTTCCCTCTTTTCTCTTTAGTGTCTTACCTTGCCTTGTGGCTTACCTCTGTTGAGCCTCATGGAGTTGTGACCTTCACTGTCTTTTTTAGGTTATTGCTTAGTCTTGTTTGGAGTGTTGCTTTGGTGTTTATGAAATTTCTCAGGTGTTCTTTGTCATGGAAGTATCTCATTTCCCCATCTATTTTGAAAGATAATTTTGCAGGATACAACAGTCTAGGTTGGAAGTTATTTTCTTTTAGGGCTTGAAATACTTGACTCCAGGTTCTCCTTGATTTGAGGGTTTGTGTTGAGAAATCTGCCATGATTCTGATGGGCTTTGCTTTGTAGGTGATTTGTTTATTTTCTCTAACTGCCTGTAGAATTTTGTTCTTCTGTTGGGTTTCTGGGATCTTGATTATTATATGCCTAGGTGTAGTGTTTTTTTTTTATTGTGGTAATTGGAGTTCTATATGCCTCACTTCTCTGTATGTCTAATTCTCCACTTCTGTCAGGGAGGTTTTCTACTATTACTTCTGTGAACAGTTTTTTTTTTGCCGATTGTACTTTCTCCTGTTTTTTCGTGGACTCCTATCTGTCTTATGTTGTCCTTCTTTGCATCATCTAGCAGCTGCTGGATTGATTTCTCATGATCCCTTACTATTTTTAAGAAATCTCTGTTTTCATGGTCCTTAACAGCAATCCTGTCTTCTATATCTGATATTCTATCTTCAGTTTCCCTTATTCTGTTCTGCATGTTTTCAATGGAATTTTCTAATCTCCTGAATATCTGTTTGAATCTGTTTCCTGGATTCCATTTCATTCTTATGTTGGGCTATCATGGTTTCCTTTTCTTAGGCTGGGCATACATGGCTTCCAGCATATTTCTGAGCTCATCTATTTTTTTTTATCTGTTAGACCCTCTAATCATGTCTTTCACTCTGCTCACCATCTCTGGAGTTATCTGGGAGATTATTTCTGCTTTGCATTTTTCTAGAGTCTCATTCTGCTGTTTTGTTACTTCCTGTCCTCTCAGTTCAGGGTGTCCAGGTGGTTGATTATCAGACTTTTCCACCTCGTTTCCCCCAGAATTTGCCTTTTGTGAGGTGAAAGTCTGAGTTTGTGCCTTGCTTAAATGTCTTCTCATTTTTGTTTTTGCTACTGTCCTTCATTTAGTTCCTGGGTTGATACTTTGAAGTTGGTTATTGTAAATATCTTTGTTTCTTGTAATTAGAACCCTTATGGAATGATTGCTTCCAGAAGTGTCTTCCAGATATAGCTGTTCTTTATGTTTTGAGTCTCTAATGGCTCTGAGGCTGTCTCATTTTCATTATACCAGGAAGGACAACTGATTAGATCAATCACAACACCTTAGCCCAAGTGATACAATCAGCAACACAATAGCATCAAGTATCTCTTATAAAATGACAATTTGTGGTAGTTATTAATCTATCACCTTTAACTGTGTGAATTAGATCAAAATCAATGACCAACCCAACATATGTTTATAGTGAATAAATTCTTCAATATAGCAACTTTACCTTTCAGGGTGGGGAGTTAGAAGGAGTTGGGGAGGGAGGGATAGGTAGGTAGAAGAATAGGGGAAGGTTAGCAATGAGGCCTGATGAGAGAAGAGCCGAAAAGAAAAGTAAAGAAGAAAAATGAATTAGTCCCAAAACAGGAACACAAAGGGAGGTGAAGAACAATGTGTGACAGCAAGGTAGTGAGGGAGAGAGAGAGAGAAAGTAAAGAGAAAAGAAATAAAAAAGAGAAAAATAAAAATTTGGAAAGAGTAGAAAAAGAAGAAAAGAAAATTAGAGCAAAAAAATAGTCGTAAGTTTGAAAATAACAAATAAAAGAGAAAAGTGAAGGGACTCCCGCAGGGTATGTCTCTGCTGTCACAATGGACAAAGTGGGCAGCAGTGTGCAGTTATAAGTCAGTGATTCTCAGTAAGCCAGGCACAGACCTGTGAGATTCAGGCTGATTTCTGGCTGCAATTTTGAAGATTAGCTCCCTATAGTCCTTCAGGGTTGAACTCTGCAATGTCCTATTGCAGGTTCTAGCTGCCTTTCCCCTGAAGATAGTCCAGGTTCTGATGGGAGGTGATGATCCCTCTAATTTACCAAGTACGGGGGTCTGGTGTGCCTTTATTGCAGAGATTCTCTTTATTTTTCCAGTGGGCTTCAGTTTTCATCAGGGAGCCTGAGAGAGGCCTTCTTTCTGTTGTTCAATTCTGGAGCTCAGGACAATGGCCTTTATGTCCCCCTGTGCCTCTGTAGTGTGGAACTAGGTAGCTGCACAGCCAAGAGGCCAGAGGCACTGGGAGGGGGGCTCTCTGTTGTTGCAGGCACCCACACAGCTCTGCTGTTGGCTGGTGGGTATGCCTGGGGGTCCTCACCGGATCCTGGTCGCAAGTGGGCATGGCCTGAGGGACAGAGCTGAGCTCAGTCAGCCCAGGGCAAATATATTTATCTTTAAAAGTAAAAAATAGAAAGCCTGTGATAGTTTTGTTTTCCTGACACTTTTTTCTCATGCTTCCAGTTCAGTTTAGCTTCATGGGCCAGTGCATATCCTGTTATTATTTTGTTTATGATTCTTTCATACTTTAAAAATGTGAATGGCAATAAGATATGACGCTGATAGAATAGATCACCTCTGCTTCTTTGCACTATCTTTTTAGGGAATGTAATTTGTCTTTCTTCCTACTACTCCACCCTCTCTTCCTTCTCCAGATCCCTCTCCTCCTCCCCTTCCTCCTCCTCTTCCTCTTCCTCCTCCTCTTCCTCTTCCTCCTCCTCTTCCTTCTCCTCCTCCTTCTTTTTCTCCTTCTCTTTGTTCTTCTTCACTTGATTGACACTGGGCCTTTGCAATGAGCAGCATCACAGGCTGGGCTCAACCTTTCAGTCCTCCTGCCTAAGTCTCCCAGAGTGATGGGATTATGGGCATGCACCACTATTCCCCAACTGTAATTTGATGTTTCCACCCATCTTTTCCCTTCTATATAAGTGTTCTTGGAATCCTTTATGATCTTGTCTATTTCTTAGTAACGTTTCTCTTTCTCAATAAATACAGTTTTAAATCAACCTTCTATGCTTCTTCCAGTATAGTTCCTAACAGCATTTCTTCTGGCAGAAATGCCTCAATGATGGTGGCTTGTACATTGCACCCTCATTGTTTTCCTGGCATGAGACAGGTTTGACAACCACTCTACTTGGTCTTTTTTTAACAATTCCTGGATTATTTCTGTAACACTTTCCTCCTTTTATTGTACCTGGATGTACTTAGATGATTTCTGACATTTTCAGAGGTGACATTCTGGACCTTTCTCTTCTTGCTCCTGTTGCTCAGTAATTTTAGTGGCTAAGTCATCTGAGATAGTCTATGTTCCTGGCAAGTGTGGGGAGAACTGTTAAGAGGGAATGAATAAGACTTGGCTGTGGGAGTAGGAGAACCTGAAAGATAAATAACAAAATTTGAGTGTCCTATATTATTTTCTAACCATAGATACATGTGTGTATATTGTGTGTATGTTTCAAAAATAAGAACAATAATTTTCCTGTCATTTGTTGAAATATCTTTTTATCTCTGTATAGCAAATGAAAAAATAGAATGATTATAGTCATCTATGGAAAGAGAAGCTGCATATGTTGTAGACCTGATCAATATGTATGTGGAAGAAAAGAAAAAAATCTATGATTCACAGGAATAAAACATGGAAGAAGTGAAATTAGCATAAAATGGACCTCAAAAAGGAAAGATGAGCATATAAGGAAAGACTAGTCCATTGAGAACTGAGAATAGTTTACTCCTTGTACAAAGTTGGACTCAATAAGAATGAGTTGCTGCTGAGGAAGACTTTTAGCCTTGTCCTGGCTTTGCCATGGACTTATGTGGCAAACACTGACAGCTTGCTTGACTTCTCTGAGCCTAAACTTCCACTCTTACATCATGGGAGTAATCATCTCAGGACTAATGTTAATAACCAAGTCTATCTAGTGACTTGTCTGTTAGTCGATACATTTTAGTTTGCTCTATCCATCTTTTCTTCACTGTATATTATTTAGCAAAATAGGGACAGAAGATTAACTGCAATGATTCCTTCTGTATTCTGTTAGAAATATAGCAACATAGGTAGGTTTGGAGTATTATAGAAAATGTGGTCAACAGATTACAAGAAGCACAATCATAGGTGAAGGAAATTCGTAAGAAAAAGATATTAAGAATTAACATTCTCCATGGTGGCTCTTGCCTGTAGGACCACATGTTCCTCCCCAGCCTGGGCAATTTAGTGATTTAATGAGACCCTATCTCAAAATTTTAAAAAGTAAAAAAGGCTGGGTATGTAGCTTAGCATGAAGTCCCTGGGATCATTCCCAAGAACTAAAAAAAAATTAACATATGAAGCTCACTGATGCTTGCAACTCACTTTATATTAATTTTCTTCTTTAATATAAATTGATGAAGAAATATTTTTATTCACATTTTCCAAATTGGGACATTAAAACTCAGTGCTACTCAAGGTATTGTCATGTCAGAATCCGGGCCAGGAATTCCCAGCCCAAGTCCAGGGCTCATTTGTTAATTATTGATTGCCTTAGAAAATGTCTGATTCAAGTTACTTATTTCCTCTGGAACTTCATTTTCTCATTTGTAATCAGAAGCCTCTTCATGATCAGATTGCTCCTTATGGTTTAGATTTAAAATTTTACCCCACAGTTTTATGTAGTTAAAGGTGAGGCTTTTAGAAAGTGACTGCCTCATAGGAGCACTATACTTATCAGTGGATTGATTGATTCATTGATGAGTTCATAGCTGAGTGTGCTGTTAGGAGGTGGGAACTGGTTGAAAGTGTGTCACTTGATGGGTGACTTGGAAGACTGTACTCTTGTCCCTGACTCCTCTTATCTCTTTCTGCTTCCTGGCTGCCATGAAGTGAGCTTCTTTCTACTGCCATGCTCTTTGGCCATGATATTTCTGGATTGGAGTGAACTGAATTGGACTGAAAGCTGAGAAAACCATGAGCCATAATAAACCTTCCCTCCTTTAACTTGTGAGTATTGGTATACCTCATTTTCTTTATCCATTCATCTGTTGATGAGCATATACATAGTAGAGTATTACTCAGCCATAAAGAAGGATAAATTTGAAGTATTCGTAAGAAAATGAATGGATCTTGAGAGCACAGCACTAAGTGAAATAAATTAGTCACAAAAGGTTAAATATCACACGGATTCTCTTATGTGAGAAACCCAAAATATAAATAAATTAAAGAGTAAAATAAAAAAAGACATGATAAGAAAGAGGAAGGTATACTTCATAGATATAGGAAAGGAGTCTGGAAGGAGGGAAAGAAGATGGTGAGGTGAAAGGGGGAATAAAAATGATGATGTGTTCATATATAGATATATATATATATATCCAAGATGAATGTAATTAGTATGCATTGCACATATATACTAATAAACTATCAAAAACAGAAAAATAAATGTTGAGTGTTGTATATTTTGTCCTAGGGATGAGAAAGTGACTAACACACTGCTGCAGATCTTGCTATCCATTTAACAGTGTTGAGCCCCTTAGGGTGAATGTCTGGCACTATCATTGCAACTCTGAATTCTTGATTCCATCCACAGTTTTCACAAGCAATGATGCAGTGGCAGGAGTTAGTATAGATTTTGAAGGAAAGTCTTTGAATAGTTTTTCTTAAAAAAAAAAAAAGGAGTATTTTAGATATCATCCTATTTAGACATAATTTACATAAGATAAAATTGACACTTTAATATAATTCAGTATTTTTAATTTCACGAAGTTGTACAATGTCATGTAAAAGCTCTTCATCTGCTAGGAAAATTACCATTTTATTTATAAATTGCACAGATTTTTCTTCCAGAGTGTCATTTTTCTTTTACATTTTGATTGTCTTTATTTTTTACAATGCAAAGGCTTTTACTTCCTTTTTATTGTCAGTGATGGCAATGGAACCCAAGGTCTTGCAGATGCTAGGCAACTGCTCTACCACTGAGCTACATTTGTAGCCCTCATTCTTACATATACATTTATCAGTGTTTTCTTTTACATTGGTCCTATGTTATAAGTTATACTGTAGTTTACAGACTTCCTCTACATTCAGGTTATAAAGAAATATTCTCAATGCTTTCTTTTAGTACTTTTGTGACTTCAATTTTTTTTAACATTTACATCTCTGTTCTTTGTGGCTTTCACTCCAGTGTGTCATGAAAGATAAAAATCTGATTTTATTTTTTCCCCAAATGGCTAACGTAGTGCCCCAAGGCATTTGGTAAAATCTTCATCTTTTTCTCAGTGGCGTGATAGGATTATTACATGCTAAATTTTCCCATGTTCTTTTGTCAATTTGTGCACTTTCTGATTTAAGTTAGTGTATAGGCCTTATTTATCTGTGACTAGCATTCAATCTTAGTTTTAGAAACTTTAGAATATGTTTTAATACCTGACAGTACTAGTCCTCTTTTCATTGCATTGTTTCCCATGGTTCTTATATGTTTATTTTTCCATACAAATTTTAGAATCTATATGTTTAGCTTCAGAAAAAAGGTAACTTGTTTTTGAGAAATACATCATTAGGGGATATATACATATATATGTATATATGTATATGCAGATGTATATATGTATATGTATATATGTATGTGTATCTTTATATATATGTATATATATATGTGTATATATATATCCATATCCATCTATTTGGCTTATTGATCTCGGGCCACAGGGAACAAAACAACAGAAGATTAAATCAAGAAGAGAAAATGATGCAGTCAGTAGTTGGAATAAACACAAGATGTGTGAATGCAGGAAGCTGCTGCTGGCACAACATGGCATTTTGTCTCACGGATGTAGCAGGTGTGTACTCTGAAGTGACAATAAAAGATAAATACAGTAAACACACAAATCAGTTTCACAGCCACTTATCATTACTGATGTCATACATTACATATATGTGACTGTATGTGCTATTCTTTATATGAGTAGCAGGTGAGAAGTGTGTTACAGTATGATATTAATAGGTGCCTGGCAGTGTTCAGCCTCATGGTTATCATATGGGCATGTGTTCTATATGCAGTCATAGTTGACCAAAAGGTCATTATGCAGTACACAACTGTGTATTAATTTGAGGAGAATTAATATCTTTATTAATTTGAGTTTTCCAAGGAAAAGAAAGGACTTTTCAGTTCTTCAAATTTACTAGTGAGCTTTGTATAATGTTGTAGTATTTTCTTTTTCTTTTTTTCTTTTTGCTTAAATTCTTTCATTGGTACTTTTTAGGTATACAATATGTTTACATTTATCATTGGGTGCTTGTACCTGTACATGATGCATCTTGGTTCTTATTTTTTCCCCATTCCCTGTGCTCCCTTCATCCCCTCCACCCTTCTCTATTTACAAAGACTTT